ATATATATCTGTATTTCCCAGCTCCACATGTGAGACAACACTTTTCCTTCTGTCATTGTTAGACTGAGAAAAGGCAGAAAGATGTAACATGAGACTCACGAGGAGCTTGGGACTTTTACTACTGTTTCTTTCAAGACAGTTCAGATGGAATAAGCTAAGCCAGGCTAAGCCCTACTCACAAAACAGTGAGGGCAATGGGAGAATGGGACCAGGTAAAAGAGAAAAAAAGGAAGAAGGCTGGCTATGGTGCCAGTCACCTGGACATCAGGATTCTGTTACCAGAAGTGTGTGTGAGAGAGAGAGAAAGAGAGAGTAAGTAAGAGAGCGAGAGAGCTATGAAGCACTGGTATCTGGTATCTTCTTTATCCTGTCATACATTTATCTAAGAAATAGTGACTCAGTGACCGGGGTGAAAGTCTCTAAATTTGATTGCTTATTTTCTAGCTTATTTTGGTATAAGAAACATATTATTGGAACAGAAAATATCACTGACTCAGAAACAGCATGTGAGACACATGATGCCTCACCAGACAGATGCTGAACATGGGAGAAGGCTTCCTTTGAAGATAGCATTACACAGGACTTCGATAAACATCAGAGGAGAAAGTGAAACTCCCTATTTTCTCCTGGAAGACAGTGCCAGGGAGTCTGGGCGTGTAAGCCTGGTGGTGTTCACTGTGAACAAGCTTTCTGTTTTGGGAGTGAACGCTCTAGGGAAAAGCTACTTTCTCAAGAGGCCTTGCAGTTTTCTGCTGGGAGCCTGTTAGAAGAAATAACTGTGAGAAGAGGCGTCAGTGTGGGACAGGAGAGTGTGGAGAATGGGATCTAATAGCAGGTTTCAGTTATGCCCGCAGCAGGAGGCCACCAAAGGGCCACTATGCACAGTTATCAAGCCCCCAGTGCTCAGCTGGAGACAGTGCCCTGGGTCCCAGGAGCTTCTAGGCTCTAAACACTGTGGTAAAATCATTCTAAGTATTATTTTTACTCCTGTCTCTGCAATATGATGTTTTTTGTTGTTGTTGTTGTTGAAAGGGGAACTCTCCCACCAAAAGACTCTGTAGAGTGACTATGATGGAGACAGAGAATAAAGAGCTTTCCCTTCACCATGGACATCCAACAAATTCAGACTCCTGCAATGCCAGGCCTCAGGACAGGGGAGAAATTGCCATCTAAAAACAGCACAAAGTCTCAGCTTACCAAATATCCCATTTTAGCTCAACCTAGGATTTCTCCATTCATGGGTCCATAATGACTGCCAGAAAGGTAAGTCCATTAACCGGATTGGTACTGACCATATGTGATGGCCTCTGATCCACCCAGATGCCCCTCGGGAGTTGCTCCAAAGCCTGGCTGTGTCGCCTGTGGGACATCAACCTAAGGATCTGTGCCTTAAGTGAAGGGGGCTTTGTGTTTGTGGGAACATGTGTGTTATGTGTGTCTGCAGGATGCATCTCCACGTGGTATTGTAAGTCTCTGCATGTGGTATGTGTTACCTGTATCTCTATGTGAGTGTGCATCTCTCTCTCTGTGTGGCACGTATACGTGCCTGTGTATCTCTGTGGATGCGTTTCTCTAAACAGCGTATGTGTTTTAGTAAATGGTGTGTGTGCTTGTCTCTGCTATGTGATGTGCATGTCTGTGGGCTCATGCTTCTGTCAGTGGTACAGCCTATGTCTGCTGTGTATCTACAAGTGTGTGCTTGTCAACAGGCTGGGGGGAGCATGCTTCGTGGCCTCTTCCAACAACTGTCTCAAACACTTTGCAAGGTCTCATGCCATGGTGTCCCCAACCACTGCTAAATCATATCTGCTCCTTCATTTTCCTTCTAGAAGTAGAATCTTTCCTTCTCCAGTTGGAACAATCTGTCTCTTCAACAAAATAGGATGGAAGCAGCCATCACTCAGTTCATGAAGAATCTCTTGGCCTGTGAAATGCCAGTCCATTCACTGACTCTTCTCAGGTGAAGGGGAGCCCTGCAGGTAACTGATGGTCACTCTAATGACTTAAAAGAAATGACACACTGGGTGGAAAACAGGGGCGTGGGACTGGGTGAGAGCTGAGGTATTCTGTACTGGCAGCCAGTCTGAGAGGGCACAAGACAGGTGGGAGGTTGGAGCCTGAGCCCTATGTCCTACTGACAAGCTGACCAAGACCTTTGTAGTGTTTGATCAAACGGTCTGACTACTGGACTCTCACTGACCCAGATGCTCAGAAGACAACTTTCACCTCATCACAGAACAATCGATGATAAGCAAACACTCCAGGGACTCCACGTTTATTTGTATTTCCTCTTGGCCTGGGAAGAGGTGAGCAGGCCGTGGGAGGAGGAAGTCTCCCATTTTCTAGGGCTCAACAGTCTTGAGGCTCACTCTGCTTACCTTAAAGTACTTGTCTAGGATTTCACTGTAATTGCTGCCTTTGGAGAACCAGCCATCAGGAATGATCTCAGCTTCCAGCCACTGGATGAGGCGACGCCGGAGCTCATCACGGTTAGACTGGTAGCAAACAACTACAGGAAAGAGAGGAAAGAGAGGTGAGGGAAGGGACCCCACATCACTAATTACTGACTGAACGGGGGGCTCCGTGCTGGCCAGGGCTCTGCATCCATCACCTCACTGCCTCCTCACCACACTCCAGGGAGACACCATGTTCACAGACATGGGGCAAAGGGGCAAACCCTGGGTACACAACTGCAAAGTGGAGAAGCCAGGATTCAAGCTCACATCCCCACAAAATTCATGAAAACTGTAGCAAGGTTATGTTGACTGGGTGAGAAAAGAGTAGAGAAGACACATAAAGGACATTTTCATTAACTCGGGAAACTGGGAAAGAAAAACCAATCAACGAAACAGCTGTCTCGCCTCAAAGATAAGCTGAAATAATACATGACTAAATGAGATCATTCCAATTCCAGATGCCACTGGATTTCTGATGCTCTACATATAGCTTTTCCCTTTCTCACCAGTTGGGCCTATCACAATTTTCTCCCCCACAAAAGTTGACACCACCTACACCATCTTTTAAAGCATGCTCTGGGCAGGGATGTGAGCCACAGTGAAAACACAGACTGGGTTGATAGGAGGGTGGATGGGACAGGAAGGGAAGGAATGACGTGGGAAAAGGGAATTTCTGGAAGACAACACATGCTGGTATGCAAAATGGCCCTGGGCCAGGAGAATGGGAATCTGAGAACGCTTTCCTTCTTTCTTCCTTTCTAACCGTGGACTTGGGAAAATTCCATTTCTCCAACTATAACTGCAATAACATGTGCCTCATAAAGTGTTGTGAGGACCTGAGGTAAAAGTACATGTTAAAAACTGCAAACTCACTGACATTGAGTTGGAACTGACTCACAGCTGACTCTACTGGGTTTTTAGAGGTTGTAAATCACATAGGAGGAGACTGTCCATCTTTCTCCAGAGGAGCAGCTTGGTAGATCTGAAATGCAAATCTTAGGGCTGGCAGTGCAACTCTCTGTCCACTAAGCCACCAGAGCTCCCGACATACTAAAGGAGTCTGTAATTATAAACGATGGTGAAATGGTCATAATGGACATGAAAGAGTCTTACTGGTATTTACAGGTGTCCCTTTTCTAAAAGGTCTGTGCCTCCGCATTCCACCAGCCCAGGACCTCAGTGTGCCTCACAAGGGGATGAAGAGCTCGGCAGCTCTCCTGCCCTCAAAGCCCAATCACCACTCGGCAAAAATGGAGCCCACACCCAACAATCTGACCCAACGAGCTGCTTCAATTGGAAGCAGACCAAAGAAACGCTTTTCTGAACTGAGTAGGGGAGTGACTAGTTTAGGGTCACAAGTTCTGACACAAAAATGGCCTGGTGAACTCTGGCCAGGTTTGTGGAACACGACATTGCATTATGGAAAGAATTTCCTCTCTGTGATGCTCATTACTGGGCAAACAGGGCACTCACCTGGGCTGGCAGATGGACTTACGTGCTTCTTCTCTGCAAGAAAAAAGAAGGCAGGTAACTCAAAGTGAAGAGAGAAATCTCCGAGTATGACTAGAATTAAAACTGCCCCACATTAAGGCAGTGAGGAGCTGTAATCTTTTCATATTGTGTCCTGAAGTCATCTCCTCTGCCAGGGCTTCAGTATGGGTGAGGATCTTTCATTTCGTGCTTTGACAGTGTACGGTACATTTCCTTCCCTGTGGGGCTGAAGAATGACCACTGAGACTTTTAAATCCTTAAATACAATCACTATGGACAGAAGAGCAGAGGGAGACCAAGTCTAGAGGTAAAGCTACTTGTTTCTCTAGGAAAGTTCAAGGTTGAGTAGGGGTGGGCAGGGCTTGAGCACAGCAGCGGGCTGTGCCTAATTAGAAACATTAGCTCATAGAAAGGCAAGACCTCTTCCTTTTCAAAAGAGAACACATAATACTACGGGGACTAGGAGGTATCCAAATTTTCAGAGGGTAAGCAAGGCAAAAATCACATATTTTCTGAAAAGGTGCAGAATTCTTTTTGGACTCGTTATGGTTGAAGTGGTTTCCTGTTGTACTACCCAACTGCAGATGGTTCTGCAAGCTTCGTTGGGGTCTGACTGCTGGAAGCCCTGAGCAGAGGCCCGAATCACCCAAGGCTAATCCAGCAGGTTCACAACACCCGAAGAATGCATTTCCAAGCACCAGGGTTGTTACTGTGGCTTTGGCCAGCTGTGGTCAGGGAGGAAAGGATGCCAGGAAGTCCAGTGGCTCCTTGGCTCCCCTGGCTGGGTGTGACGGCGGCAGGGGACACACCTTACCTTTGCAGTGCCCATCGTAATTGACCTGAATTTTGGATCCAGTGAGGCAGGCATCTCGATGCAGCTCGCAGTGGTTGAGGTAGGTCTTGCCATTACTGCCACACACAGGCCTCTTGTGAGGTTTGCATTGCTGAAACAGACCCCACAGAGGATGTTCATGCCATGCAGCCACGGATGTTGGCACACATGCGTGCACTCAAACATGAGAATCATTTGTGAGGCAATGTCCCACCAGCAGAGACAGAGTCCTTGTGTCCTTCCCAGCAGGGCACAGGGAGCTTTAGCATTGACCATCAATGACCTACCCCTCACTGCTGGAGATACCCCATCACCTCTGAGTCCCTGTGCCTCTCTCTGTCTATCTAGTCCAAGGCCATCTCTTCTATTCTGTGAAGAAATAGACTCTTTCACCAATCTCACATTAATAGGAAGGGTATTTAATTGGGAGTCGGGTATATGTATTCTCTAATACTTTAGTCACTTTGAAAAAAAATCACTCAATATTTTCAGATGACCTGGGCCAATGGGCAGCACCATGACAGAGAAGAGACTGAGACTATTAACAAATTTCAGCTTACTCAGTTCCACAATCAACACTCTTGGCACCAGAAGTCAAAAAATCAAATTGTATTGGGAAAGTCTGCTGTCAAGGACCTCTCCAGAGTGCTAACAAGCAACAATGTCAGTCTAGACACCAACGTGCACCTGATCCAGGCCATGGTCTTTGCAATTACTTGCAGAAAGCTAGACAGTGAGTAAGGATGACAGAAGCCTTTGAGCTGTGATGCTGGAGAAGAGTACTGAACCATGGATCGCCAAAAGAACAAAGAGCTCTGTCCTGGAGAGGGTGAAGCCAAGCTGTTTCTTGGAGACAAGGATTCTGAAGTGCCTTCTTACATCCTATGGGCACGTAGCAAAAAAGGATCAGTCCTTGGAGAAGAACACCGTGCTTGGGAGGTTAGAGGGACAATGAAAGTGAGAAAGACCTCAGCTGAGATGGATTGACACAATAACTGAGATAACGGGGGTAGGTGTGTCAGACAGTGAGACGGGGTCAGGATGGCGGGGTTCACTGTACATAGGGTCACTATGAGTCACAGGTGACTCAATGGCACATAACAACAACAAAAACAAGTTCCTTTAAAATTCTAATGTTCTATGACATGAAACAGCTCGAGCTGAGAACTGACAATGAGAAGAAATTAGAAGAGAGGAAAATGCATACCCCCAAGTCCCTCCCTGTCAATTCTTCTGGGGTCTAACTCTAAGGATCTTTGCTCTCCTGCTTTGTTTCACACTTGGGGGCTGTTTTGTTTCCTTCCTCATCTCACAGCTCCTGTTGTAAGGTAGCGACGAGGAGCAGAAAGCCAGGTTTTGTGAAACAGTACAAAGACTCACTATGAGGAGAAAAATGGAATAAAGTTCACATGGCAGCGAGGCTCTGCTTCAGCAACTTCAAGTGCCAAGGACACAGGCCAGCTCAGTTCATTCAGACTTTCGTTGTTTCTAAAGAGGACAAGGGGCAGCAAGCAGCGCAGATCTAAGAATGAAGAGGGCAAAACTAGGATGAGCGGATGTAGAGAGTGAAAAGAAACACAGCACACTGAATTGAAAGGGATCCCTAGTCCATTCTCTCCAACTTACTGAGAATAACAAAACCTAGAACTTCAAATCATCCATTTAGCCAACAGTCATTACTGAGTGTCGACTACATGCTGAGCAAACCAAACATGGTTTCTGTCTTCTTGGCATGCAATGGAACGGATGTGCTCAAAATCACATTTGACGTGACAAAGCAGACACTACACACTAGGTATCCAGGTAATCAGCTGACATTTTTCATTTGATATTGTACAGTGGACAAACCTCTAGGTCAGTAAGTTAATAGCCCACACTCACCTCCAGTGAGCAGTGCCTGGGGCAAACAGATCCCCAATCCCAAAAGATCTGGGGTTCATGTTTCTGAGTTGGAAGAATCCTTTCTGGGACAATGGATCAAGCTCCTTAATCTGGAGACTAAGGGTAAACATATTTACTTGCAAAAACACAAATAAATTTCCAGGCTGTATTAAAAAGGTGAGGAGGGGCAAGTCCATATAACTTGGGTAACTACGCTCTTCTGAGGGAGCTCAAATGGCAAGAAGCAGTGCTGCAATCTCTAAGGCACGTAGTTTGAGGCCACCTGCTGCTCCACGGGAGAAGAATGGGCAGTCTCCTCCCATGTGATTACCTGCCTCTGAAAACCCACCAGAGGGTCAGCTAAGGGTCAGTTCCAAGTCTATGGTACACAACAACAATATGCTCGTCTGAGGAATGAGAACTTATCTAAATCCTATCTATAAAAGAGGCAAATAAGGCATTTCTTAAAAGCTCACTTTTCAAGTTTCATTCAAACAAAAAAATCAAGCCATCAATAACTCATAAGGCCTGCAATCCATTAATTAATTTAGCAAGCCCATCTGGGATAATCTACCCTAGAAAAGTACAGGCAGCAGCATGCAAGGATCTTGCCCAAGGTTGTCACTGTTTATAATGCTTTAAAACAACACAACAAAAAGCACACCAATCACACTACAAACTAAGTGTTCATCTTTAGGAAAACAGTGGATTAAATCCAACTTTTTCCTATCACAGCTGGTAAAAAAAGAATGAACTAGAATTACATGTTATGACATAAGTTTGTCGACAATACATGCAAGTTACTATTATCTCACATGGCTCCTGTTATTGTATAAATGAGGAGGAAATTCTACGTGTTCATCTTTTTGTTAGGGGCTGTGACTCACCTCGACCCTGTTTACCAAAACCTGCCCAATCCTGCATCACCCTCACAATCTCTGCTGTACATAAGCCGGTTGCTGCAGCCACTCTCTTAATCCACCTTGTTAATATTAGTGTAGGAAAAAAATATGTAGCACAACATCCTAAACTGTTAACACTGGCCATCTCAGACTAACAAGATGAGAGTAATACTGGGAAGAAGTATCAATTTTATTCATACAAATGCCCGTACTCCTTGACTTATATAAAGCATTGTTAGTTTAATAATTTAAAAAAAAAAATTCAAAAGCTAAACTTTCCTCTATTCACAAGTGATTTTTTAAAAAATTTTAATAATTTTAATGAACATTTACAGAGATTTTGGATTTCTATTCTTTTTCTTTTTTTTTAAAAAAAACAACAAAAACCCTGGGTTAGAAATGACACATCTTGGCGAGCTCTGGTGGCCTAGTGGCAAGAAGCTGCACTGCAATACCAGAGGTCTGTGGTTCGAATCCACCAGATGCTCTGCTGGAAAAGGAGGGACAATCTCCTCCTGTACCAGTCAGATCCAATTTGACCGTACACACACAAGAAAATAAAAATAAAAGACACCTCTTTCAGACAAAACCATACATGTACAGTGATGACAAAATTTTGGCACTGCCTCTCAGGGGCCTCTGCTCTCGACTCCTGAACTTACCTCAATGCAGAGGCAGGTGGGCTCTCCCTTCTCAGTGACCGCACACTCCCGGCCGGCTCCACAAAATACATTGGCACAGATCTTGGATTTGCTCCTTAGCTCTTCCTGAAACAGAGTCATAAAGGAATTACATTACTAAGACGAACCCATTAGCCAGTCATGACTTGCCATTGTTCTCAAGTCAGAGCTCACAGTGTTGAAGGGTCCTCAATGGCCATACTCCCCCAGCACTGCTTACTGCCCAGCATGCTCACTCCCCAACACCTACCCAGCCCTGGCTCAAGTCATTCTGACTCATCAAGATTGTTTCTTGTAGAGTAACAGTTCTGCTTTGCTTCTTTCCTTCTTTAATGAAGTTGCAGGAAGGAAAGGCGGTACACAGTAAGGGGTTAATTACATTCTGATGGCTTCGTAGTAAAGCGTTGCCCTGCTAACTCAGAGGCACATGGCTTGAAACCAGAAGTTTCTCCATAGGAGAAAGATGAGCAATCTTCTGTGCGATTTACAGCTTCTGAAAACCCACTGGTGGGTCAGCTAGGCGTTCTAACTCTGGTACGCAACAAAAACAATTATATTGATACTATAAGACAAAATGTCCATTAATGACACCTTGCTTGCTGAAGCCTTTGCTTCAATATAGATTGACACTCAACATCAAGAAGACAAAGATTCTCACTACAGTGCCAATTGGCAGTACCATGATAGATGGAGAAGAGATTTTGGTTGTTAATAACTTCAGCTTTCTCAGCTCCACAATCAACACTCTTGGCACCAGCAGTGAGGAATTCAAAAGAAAAATTGCACTGGAAAAATCTGCAGTCAGGGACCTCTCTGGACTGAGAAGCCACAATGTCAGTCTAAAGACTAAGGTGCACCTGATGCAGGCCAAGGTTTTCGCAATTACTTGCTATGCATCAGAGAGCTGGACAATGACGAAGGATGACAGAAGAATCATTGCATTTGAGTTGTGGTGCTGAAGAAGATTGTTAAACATACCATGGACCACCAAGAGAACAAATAGGTCTGTCTTGGAGAGGGTTAAACCAAGTTTCTCCTTGGAGGCTAGCATTTTGAAGTTTCCTCTCACATACTTTGGGCACATGGCTAGAAGGGACTAGTCCTTGGAAAAGAACATCATTCTCTAAAGGGTGGAGGGAACAGTGAAGGAGAGGAAGACCCTAAATGAGATGGATTGACATAGTAATGGGGTAATGAGGGTAGGTGTTTCAGAATCAGTGAGACCAGCTCAGGATAGGGCAGGCTTCAGAGCTGTTGTTCATAGGGTCACTATGAGTTGCAGCACATGACAGCAACAACAACATGTTTCCTACTCAGTCATTTGTCTACATTTGCCTCTCTGGTCTCAAGACTAAGAAAAACAAACTATGATAAAAACCTTCAAACCACTCACTGGACAAGCAATCTTGCTCAGATTCACAGAGAACTGATCGGTCAGAGGGTAACTTCAGCTTATACTACTGACAATGTGGTCGTCAGCAAGCACTCATCTGTGGGTGACACTTCCTTCCCTCATACTAACTGGTGGCAGAGAGCCAGCCTCACCTCATTTGCCATCAGTCCAACAATTGTGGTTAAACAAAACAGAAACCATTTTCTCCAGCCCCCCACCCTCCTGGCTGGGCAAGCACAGTCACTAGGCTGGCATCAACTGCGACAAAAAAAAAAAATTAAAAAATGGCAGGAGCTGGGATGATGTCATGGGAACGACTATGCCAAAGGCAAAGGAGAGAAGCTAAGCTGCCAGGCTCCAGTCATGTCTATCATGTCATACAGAAAAGTCACACATACAAAGCTTATAACACTGAAAGTCTTATCATCATAAGTGCTTCATATTCAGGAATAGCTCAAAAATATAAAAAATGATGTTGGAGTGCCAAGGGGCTGTGTTCAAAACAGCTAATCTGCTGCCACCTGGAGGCCGTTTGGCCAATTCTAGGCTATTCTGTCAGGCAGGGCTCCTATTGGCTTAGGAAGCCTACCCATGCTCATATTTCATTGGTTCACATGCTGTTGCTAAACCAATTCGTTTTTTGGATGTTGCTAAGGAAAATGCAATAAAACTGGCAGGCAAGGAAGAAAAGAGGAAGTAATTCCCAGAAGGCTGGGGGAACTGGGGAACTGTTGTTTCCTAAGCAGGGAGGAGAGATAAAATCAAGCCCATTCTCCAGGCCCTGTGGAAACTGTGCCTGGGAATGTAAAGTACAAATGAAAAGGAAGAGAAAAGGCTATTGCTGAGCAGCATAAAAACCTCAGATAAGAGTATCCCTCCCCTCCCTTCTACCAAATACATTCTATTCAAGGGATACAGGCAAATACAAAATTCAATAATAAAACATTCTCCAGAGAGAAGGTCCCTTTGTGCCATGTGGGTGTGTCACCTGAGTCCCGGTAGCTAACAGAGCAATCCTGGACATATATCTACACCCTAAAGACAAGCCGGCCCCACAGACCCCCACCATTTATTAGCTAAGTGGCCAAAATGAGTCACTTGAATTATTTCTGCTCCAGTTTCTTCATCCGAAAATAAGAGTAAATCCCAGCCCTGGCCCTATTAAGAGTAAATGGAAGTTGATACTTGCACACACACTGTAAACTGTAAAGCAAGCTGTTGTGGGAAGTGTTATTAATGTTATTGCCTTACAGAGAAGCTTGTGACACTCAGACTCCTTTCTGTTCCCCACTTTACACTGTTATTTTTCGGTATTAAAAAGAAAACGTTAAACTCTTTTTCAGAAAAGGTTTGCCAATATTCATTTGTGCATCAATGGGGGAAAAAAAGAAACCATTTTTACCTTAAAAAATGAAAAATACATGTATTAAAATCCATTTGAAGAAACAGACTTCTGACTTAAATAGAGCAAGTGACAAATACAGCAATTGGGTTGTTAGGTGTTGTCGAGTCTACTACGATCCATAGAACCCTATGAAAAACAGATCTGAACTTGCCATATTCTGCACCATCCTCACCGTCTGATGTGCTTTGAATCCACTGTTACAGTCCTGTGACAATCCATCTCCTTGAGGGTGTTCCTCTCTTTGTTTGACCTTCCATCTACCTTTCTCTCTCTCTCACCTTCCATCATTTTTTAAGGACTGACAACATGCCTAACGTGTGTGAGACGAAGTTTCACCATCCTTGCCGCTAAGAAGCAATGCGACTGCACTACTTCCAAGACAGATCTGTCTGTCCATTTGGCAGCTCACGAAGTAATTCAGTACTGTTCTCCAGCACCCAATTCAAAGGCATTGATTCTTCTTCTGTCTGTCTTTGTTCACTGTCAAGCTTTCATGTAGACATGTCAATACTTGAGGAGTACAATTAAAATACAAAGTCTTTTTACCATCTGCACATGATTTCATCTTCCTGTGTGGACAGCCATACAAGAACATGTTGTTGTTGTTATGTGCTGTCGAGTCGCTTGCGACTCATAGCGACCCTATGTATAACAGCCCTAAACTCTGCTCTGTCCTGTGCCAATCGCACTGTCTCTGACACTCCCATCCCGATTATCCCAGTCACTGAATCAATCCACCTCATAGAGGGCCTTCCCCTCCTGTGCTGTCCCTCCATCCTCCCAAGCATGATGTCCTTCTCCAAGGACTGGTCTCTCCTCACAACATGTCCAAAGCATGTTAGACGGAGCCTCAGAATCCTTGCCTCCAAGGAGCCACCCGGTTTAACCCTTTCCAGGACAAATCTGCTTGTTTTCCTAGCAGTCCACGGTATTCTCAATACTGTTCTCCAGCACCACAGCTAAAAGGCATCAATTCTCCTTCTATCCTCCTTGGTCACTGTCCAACTCTCTGATGCATAACAAGTGATTGTGAAGACCATGGCCTGTATCAGATGCATCTTAGTCTCCAGAGAGACACCACTGCTCTTCAGCACTTTGGAGAGGTCCCTAAGGGCAGACTTTCCCATGGCAATGCACCTTTTAATTTCCTGGCTGCTGGTGCCAAGACTGTTGACCGTGGAGCCAAGCAAACTAAAGTTGTGTACAATCTCAATCTCTTCACCACCCATCCTGATGCTGCCAATTGGTCCATGTACATAATTATAATTAGAGGAGGAAATGAAAGATCAGAAAGATGAAATGATGTGCCCAAGATCCTTAAACTAAAAATGAGAGGAGCCAGGGCTGTAACCCAGATATCCAGACCACAGGTCATTAAGTTAGTGTGTGGGGAGCTGCAATGCTCATTCCAAGGCTGAGTCACTCTGGCAGTTCAAATCCACCTGCTGGTTTACAGCTTTGGAAACCTGTCGGATGGTCAGCTGTGAATCAGTCCAAACTTGACAGCAACAAGAAAGAAAGAGAGCACACATACCTTGTTAAAAGATTTTCCTTAAATATTATTTAAGCTTTACAACTCTATAATTCAGACATTCTCACTCACTTACTGCTATTTAAGTCGGAATCAACACATAGTTGATCCTCTCCAGCAGGCATTTTGGAGACTGTATATCACACATCTTTCTCCTGAGGAGCTGCTGGTGGATTCGAACCACCAGAGACACACCACCTTTGGGTTAGAGTGCACCTCCCTTTGGAATACACACTCAGAGTCCACAACAACTTAACTTAGACATTATCACCGCATTTTAAGGGAGTTCTGGGGGCATAGTCTGTAGGGAATTATACCATCAGCAGCTCCTTAAGGGAAAGATGGGTAATCTCCTCTCATAGGATTTACAGGCTCTGAAAACCTGCTTGAGGGTCAGCTATGAGGCAGTTTCAACTCAAAAACAATGAGTAGGAGACCTCATTTTAAAGTATGCTGGTGGTATAGTAGTTTAGAGAGTGGCTGCTAACTCAAAAGTTAGTAGTTCAAACTCACCAGCTATATCAAGGAGAAAACACTTCATGATTTGCTTCTGTAAAGATGAGGCTGGGTTTTTTTTTAATATTATCAGAGCAATTTCATTCCCTTCAGATTTCTTTTGGTTTATTTTTTTGTTTGTTTCATCTTTTCTTTAATCATTTTTTAATTCATTTTAATGAAAATTTACAGACACTTTGGATTTCCATTCATTCATTATTGTACTTTT